TAATTTGTTACAGTACAAGTTCTTTTGTTTATTTATTATAGCCATTATGCATAATAAAAGCATTCTACGCTGATAATTACGACTTCATTAAGCTAGAGTAATCTCAAAATTATTTATGCGGAAAATTGCATACAGATCCTGAATGAAGGTAGTGAAACAAACATCAGCTCTTTTATGGAATTAAGTCAGATAAAAAATGTCAAACGCATCGTTCGCTTAAAAATTGACGTGTAAAAGTGCAAATACGCTTATTTGCAGAAATAAATTCACTTGTTTCACTTGTAATTGGACTGATCGAATCCTTTATTTGATACCAATTATGGCTTATGAGTTGCAATAGGTAAGTATGTCATAAAATATTATGTCAGAATCAATAACACAACTGGTATAAATTCACTATAGGCGGGTAACTATTCTTTCCTAGAAAACAAGTGTCGTGCATTAACGTTGCCAAGGCAATAGAATTAAACTAATGAATGTAAACAGTGTGCAACGGTACGTAATTAGCTACAAAGTTACCAACACTTGAACCTTTTACAAAGGCATGCATTCATTAGCATTAGTGGTTTAAAGACAATTCACTTAACGTGTTAATAAGGAAACATTCTTGCCTAATTGCGTGAAATTACCTTTAACACGTTGGTAGAAGCAACATAGAAATCACAGGCAAAGAAAAACTCGAGCGTCAAATTAAAATTATGTAAAACAAAACATAGATAACTAATATATTATACAACTATTCTCAAATTCGTTTCAAAATAAGAACGAGTCATATGGAATATTTCCGTAAAAAATCGATTGGTGTTTCCTTTTTGATTTTAATTTTAATTTATAATTGTATGTAAATTGCTACTCGCGCGATTAATTCTTGCGCTGTTTTATAAAAATAGTTTCTTATAATAATGAAATTATAATATTATGTCAGTCAATATGCCTACAAATAGTCTGATAGGTTTTACATTGTTATAAAATTACTAACAACAGCCATTATAAATGCAATTTATTACGTAAAATAAATAAATAAATTCCCGTGGATATTCTTGCAACAAAAGTAAATGTCTTGAATTCGACACGTGCCGCAAATTGGACTTGTCCATTATTTTGATTCAGTAGTGTTTACGTAGTTCGACACACCTCCAAAATGTGTTCGACATAGTAATAAATAGTGCGTCGGCGTAGGTACCTACTACATCAGCTGACTATCGTTAGACTGTGCACATGACAGCTAATTTTATTTTAAAACATTCGCCATTCTTCAAAAAACGTCGCTGTTGACATTTCAAGATCACAACCAAGCTTTTGTGGCACGTTAATTCTTAAATAATGTTTGTTTAAGAGTCCATAGAGCGAATACTATACTCGTTTTACCTTGAAATTCCGAGAAAAATCAATAAAAGCATTTCTCGTAGCGACCAAAGCTTTCATTACGTAGGGAGTTATTGTTAAAATTCATTATTTATTTTTATTTAATCGTGGAATAAAATTTTATAGAAATTAATGTAATGAATAATTCGATAAATCACGACTTTATAAGTAGTAGATATAAGTAGAATTACTAGATATTGACCGGTTACGCAATGAGCTCTCGCTATCTAATTACATAGATAAACGTGTTACATGATGTAAGTCGTTGATAAATTGGTTGCTACTGAGTTACATTACTGATTTACAAATTGTTTTTGAATATACAAAGTTATTTGTCTACATTTGCATTGCGTACATTTTGATTAAATTATGTATCTAGAGAGCAACGATTTTTTTTTTATTTATTGCACTTTCGTTAATACTTTACAAGCCTGATTTCAGCCGCGGAGAACCTAACGGGTTACCGAGACTCCGGCTCGAAGTGCTTCACCCAGGCGGGAGAAGTCATTCGATGATTATCCCCCCTTAAAAAAATGGTATGATTTGCCAACATAATGAACTAATTACTAAGTAACTTATGAACGTAATTATCGAAGTGTGATGTTGCTGTGTCGTATCCGGCGGGCCTTCCGATTTAATAAAGTAACAGGTTAACCAAGTAAATTATTCATAACAAGGTAACTAACATGTTTTATTATAGACAATGTTAAATTCTTCCAAATATTATACAAGTTTGTTCTACAAAAAACTCTTCCAACTTCTTAAGCATATTTAGTGTAAGTACACTCAATTAGTTATCTAGGCTGGAATTCCCCTTTATCGGAATGCATCGTGCTCCACAGATTTTAGCAACTAAAAGCCTATACTATCACTAGAAATAATGGTGACATAAAGTCTATGTTTACCTAACAATGATCAGTCAGGACACGCCCACCGCATTGTTTTTGTTGATAAAACACGTTGACGTATCCATATGTTTCAAACTAACATATTAAACCGTTGAGATAATCTGAACGAACTCTAAATCCGACAATACTACCCAGTTACCTACTTCAAATTTAAACGGTCGATTCGCATTGATGACGTAAAAAATTAAATATGAAAAAAATGTGGTAGAACTTGTTTCGTATGAGATAATAGAAGTTGATTCTACATACCTAAACTACGCAGTAGTTTAACATGTGAGATTTAAGATGTTCGGTTAATCTACAATCACGTTGAGGACCTACCACGTGGTGCGCGGACCAATGTAAATGTGCAATGGATGCGCATGCGATTAGGACTGAAATAATGTAAACATTACGTAGTCATTTCTAATTATAGCGCAAAGTCCAAGACTTAGGACTACGCTAACATTTATTTATATCTTGTAAAGGTAAGGTACGTGGTGTTTGCCGCCAAGAATGTCATAATTAATAATTTCTTCAATCAAAAGGGATGACTAACCTTTAAACCGGTAATAGTAGCGAACTAAAACAGCTTCAAGTGGATTGCCTTTACCTAATTCGGTAGTTTTATTATGGTCGCAAATACGAGTTTAGGAGGCTACCTGTTAGTGAAATTGGATGTCAATGTCACGTCAACATTTTTACTCTAAGATATCTAATGTGGCTTAAGGTTGAGGGTAGGCTAGATTTATGTTAGTATAATTTATTGTTAATTCTATCTGTATCCAATTATGGGGGTGACATTTTCTCTATTGAAAAAACCCTCTTATTTAAAAAATTATAATAAAGATAAAAAAAAAGATATTAGATATTTTTTTTTTAAAAAAAGATATCTAATGAAATTGGTTGCTTCTCAATTAATAAACAATTCATTAAACAATTCCAATTTTTTTTCCTTTAAATAAGATACGGAATATACATTCGGAAGAGCGGAATTCAAAAATTATTTCCGTAGATAAAAAAAGATATGTATTATCTTATATTTATTATGTCCTTCACTAAAGCCCTTAGAGATTCATAAATACAAATGCAATATACATTAAGATTATAATATCATCGACTTGTAACATTCCAACCGATATAAAAATGCAATATAATTATAGTAGCTAGATACATAAATTGCAAGAGATCGTTGATCTTAATAATTACCTGTTTATACTGAGTGTTGTAATTAAATAGCAATTTATTGTATTAAATTGTAAGTTATTATTAACTGTAAGCAACATTACAATACAATACTGAGATAATGAAGTAAAACAAATTGACTTTAGCAGTAAATCATTTAAGGCATCAGAAAATAAATATATAATCACGGTAGACAAGTTGAATAAAGATAATTGTAACAGCATAAGACCTATTAAGGATTTCTTTTATCGCATTAACTATTGTTTTTAGGTTATCTAAGTATAAATTAGTTTAGTAGAACAGTGTTGCAGTACACCATTATACAGGGTCGCCAATGTCACGCGATGTTATGGCTTTTGTCAGAATTAACATGAATACCGACTGTGTTAGTAATACCAGCTATTGTTCAAAACTATGATTCGTCCTCAGTTTTAAATTAGAACTGCTTTAATTCATCTTACTTGAATATAAATACTCAAGTACCCAATACCGATTGCAAAGAATCTAGTGTCGAAAATTATTCACATAATAATTGTCTTTTAATTTCCATGTTTGTTTGTGAAAATGTTCAATTTGAATAGTTTATGTTACGCACCTTATATTAGTCACACTGCGTTAGAATACAACGGAATCGTATTTATATTCGAATAATGTACGTTAATTTAAATTTTATTTTTATACGTATTGTTAAATCGGTTACATTTACTTGTATATGAAAGTACAACAAGTGCGAGTACTTTGTACTTTCGACTTACGAAATGTCATTTTTTCATTTAAGAAGTTTTACTTCCAATGCGCGTAGGCATGTATCGGTTCTTACTTGTTTTACATGCGCGTTTCGTTTGCGCTGCCAAGTGGCGTTATTTTTGTTGCAATAACGGAAAAGCTCATTGTACTTTACTAGTGCCAAAAAGGGTGTCGGCAATTTACCTACCCACTGCAGATTACGTAACTAAAAATTTGTAACAATTTTACAGAGTCACTGTTGCCTATCTGTTAGGTAAGCAACCAAAGTCTTCACAAAAAATATTATTACAACACAGTTACAGACTTTATCAAAATTCAAACACCACGTTTATCATGGAATTTTATATTTAACCGGGCATAATAAAAGCTGACATTGGTTGAGCTTACAGAAACTATCTATCAAATCCGGTATTTTAATGTAACTAGAAAATCAAGTGCTAGTACGATGTTACATCCTTAGGCCGTGCATACGAACAAGTTCATACTTAGATGGCATAGGCATGAAGTACTATTTTATATCATCGATGAGGCTGACATTGAGGATGTGATCAATTAGAAAGGAAAGCGCGGCAACTATTAAACTTACTTACGTCTCATGAAGGTTTACGCTTACAACACAGATCACATTTCTCAGTCAGTCTCAGACAAGATTGACCAGTTGCAACGAAAACGAGGCCAATAAGCGTTACTTGCACTGCTTGTACGAAACGGCAAAAAAGAATGTACCGATATTGAATGTAAAAGGGTTCCAAACTTCAGTGTTGTAATTTATAAAGTATCCATATGTTTTTAAATCGCTAAAAATCTATTACTTACCGAGCTTTCCCATCATTTCTTCTAAAGCGTGATCCTTGTCCATGGTGAAGGTGGTAGTTCCCGGCGCAGGAGTTGTTTTGTCGAAGTTCTGTAATGATATTCACAAACACCATTGATGGTATAGTTATGTCAAACGCGCGACGGCGTGAGCAGTGCAGGCGAACGCCAGGCGTGCGTGCCGGCGGACGAGCGAATGGATGGCAATCGTCGCGTCGTGGCGCCGACCGCGGGTCGGTTACCGCAATCGCGCGAAAAAACCTAACCTCTTATCTGCATTGGCCATACCTGCCAGTTCGGTGATCGTCGGCAGTGCCAAAGAGGCACTGGCCGCAGTACCTTGCACTGATACGGAGCACGGACACAGGCAGTTCACAAGCTCACAACAAGATACCTCAGTGAATAAAATTTACATTTTCAAACAGAGGAACAGGACGGAAGGATAATCTAAATTAGTATTTAAGTGTAACCCAAAAATTATAAATAGATATTGTAAATTGGGCGTTACTTTTTGGCGAGTAAAGTTATTATATTATCAGTACATACATAAATGAATAATATCGACCGGACTGTTTATCATAATTCAATTGATAGAGCACACATTGCTTGTTACGTATGAACATCGATGTTTACTGCAAACAATTTCAAATGGCACAAACATGTTTCATGTGTACCTGTCGGATGTTACGGTTCACAAAATTGTATTCATTATTGTCTACAGCTACTGAACCCACATCTTACGCGGAAGAACTTCAGGAGTTTGCCATTATCTCCATATTTGGGGATCGCACTTGGGTCACCCAAGAATGTAAAGGATGCTACTACCCATCTCTCGGGAATGCTAAGCTTATATGGTAGCCTAATTCGTTAAACATAAAAACCGAAATCAGAAATTAATGAAAGCGAAAACGATCGACTTACATTGCTGAAGTGTTCTCGTGAAATACCACTTCACAATGTTGGTCTCCCTTAAATATGTCCTTGAAGTTCACCAACTCAAAGTTATGAACAAAAGAGGTTTAGAGTAATTGAAAAAGTCCTTTCACATTTGTGATAAGAAAAATTATGGTGCTTTTAAAAAAGTATGAGTAATTGGATGTCTTTATACAATAAAAATACCATCTATTATGGTGACCATATGACTCATCGATGACGACAAATCCCCATACATTGTTAACAGTTATAGAAAGTAATTGTTTATGATAAGGATTTTAAAAGTGATAAAGGAACTCAAAATGTCTATGGGCCCTATATTTTTACTGACGCAACTTAGAGGCGACTTTATTTGGGAAACAATAGTGACGTAATGACGTCATATTACGAGGGAAACTTGGAACAGTCGAGTGCTTATATTGGACACATTGATTTACTCTTCAAACTGTGTACTACAGAGTACATTGATAAATGAAATTTCTTTTGGACTAATCGTCGATAAAATTACACTATCATATGATAATTCTGTAAGCCCTATCAATAAACTGATATTAAAACGTTTATATTGAAAATCTTTCGAGACTTGTCCTATATACTATTTATTTAAAAAAAATCGGTATTTCCTTTTTGTAGATAATTGTGTTATCTACTAAAATCTGTCTACTTATAAGGCGGAGATGTAGCCAGATTATTATTTTAAAGTAGATTAGAAATCAATTGTCATGACCATGACTAAATGGTACTTGATGATCATCTATAAAAGAATAACACTATCATCTATCATAATCATCTCTATAAGTACCAATTAAAAGATAATTTATATTATCTGGGTTAAGTAATTAAGTTTAAAATGACATCTAATTAAAATTTAGACATTAATGGTGTCTGAACAAAATATGGTTACCGTTCTAGGATCTACAATAATTCTTTTTGTATAAGCATTCTATTTGGGTTCCATTACATTTCAGCATGGGATATTTCTGATCTATTAATCCTACACATTTTAATTGGTTTATCCGAAACAGTGAAGCCATTTTCTCCGTAGCCCTAAATACTTGTCCTTATCCATTTAAGAGAGGATTTAGACCATTATACAACATGTGTAAGGTTAAAGCGACAATTATAATATGTTGTCGAAATGTTGTGAAGAGAAAAACAAACTAAGTATTATCGTTAGGACCGATTATTACAACTAATAATAACTTGCGCTATGTTAGTATTGACTCGCCCTTTATATTGTTGAAATAGTAACGAGCTAACATCAAACTATTTACAAGTTTTAAACGAAAATATACTTAATAGCTTCCGTAATTAAGTAGTGATTCTCTTTGCATGTTAATTTGCATTTTCCGATTTCAATGGGATTACAAAAATAATGGACACAAGGACGGGTATGGTTTTGTTTTGATTCTATTGTAGTTAATTATACAGCGGGAATCTATTCATTAGATCTGATTTATTGCCAAGCTATTCTATTTATGTGGAAACCGCAAATGTAGGATAATGTTAATAATATTTGTTACCTACATTTGTTTACTCAATCCTCGAAGTTCATATTTTCAGGATCATAACATATGGCTTTGATTCTCCAGTACTTATGTGTAGCACCCAGTTTTTTGCCAGCTGTTATATATATATTATTACGTAAGTACAGTGTTACAATCGAGCCTACAATACAGACACAATTCTAAACTTTTCCTGCAAATACTGAAATTTATGTTACTGAAGACCGAAAGTCTCAGCATTCCTCTAACCGATCATATCGTACCCAACACCCTTTGCTCGGCAGTGGCACTTACAACCATACAATCGGTTTCTCAAGGACACGGACACAACCTGTTACTGCTCCAATTTCTATATCTCAGCAATCGTAGCGTTAACTATACATAACCTCTATTCCAAGGCGTCCACACTTAGTATTCACAACATTTAGAAAGGGCAACCCTTTTATGAATTACTTTAACCAACATTGAAGTTGCCTTGAATGAATGAAGCAATTATGTTAAAGCAATGGTGAATGATTGACGAAACAATGTAATAATTGTGGAGGTAACATTTTATTTTCTTACATAACATAACATAGCATCACGCCTTTTATAACCGAAGGGGTAGGCAGAGGTGAACATTATGCCACTGTACAATGTAACACCCACTTTTCACAATTTATGATATGTAATATCATCTCGAACCTAACGGGTAACCGGGGCTCCGGCTCGACGTGCAGGAGAAGGAACGGGGTGGTTTTTAGTCAGTAGGTAAGAGTCTGACACTCCCTCCCGCCTCACCCAGGCGGGAGCAGTCATTCGGTAATTATCCCCCTTAAAAAAAAAAAAATGTGCATGCCATATACCTACCGGGCACAATTCCAGACTCCGTGCTACTACTGAGCACAAATATTTTTATTCATTTTTTTTATGAGTATATAGGTACTGGCTGTTATGTGTAGGCATCAGGGATGTATTTCACAGTCAATTCCTATACAATGTGGTTTGTCCCATTGAACTAACAGAGAACTTCGATCAGGTGTTCTTCGTTAATAATGAATGTATATAATACTAGCTTTTACCCGCGGCTTCGCTCGCGTCACACAAGGATAAAAAGTAGCCCATTTAAACCAATCTCACAGCGCCATCTATACCAATACTTTTGTTTTCCCTCAGGAATATCAAATTTTCCGGGATAAAAAGTACCCTATTATTTAATCCAGACTTCTAACTTTACGTCAGCAAAAATTCAAAGCAATCGGTTTAGTAGTTACGGCGTGAAAGCGGAACAAACAAACAAACTCACTTTCCAATTTATAATATAAGTAAGGATTATTATATTGTACATAACTTATGTTACCTATATTAATATTAGTTACCTATGAGCATGAACTATCATGAATTTCACTACGTACGACATTTAACCTAACACTTATTTTATTTTTTTATATTTGATGGGCCGACGTTTGACCACTATCTCGCCTGGTGGTAAGCGATTATGTGGTCTATGATGGAGCACATCAACCCATAAGCAACCTATTTACTCGGGCCTTTAAGACGACCAGTCATAAGCTCGTTTACGATCACGAAAAATGGTGTCCAACGAATAAAAACTTAAAAAACGTATCTACCAAACTTCTGAACGACTACACCAACAAATATGTAGCTACAGATACTTATACAGAGAGTACTGGGATGTAAACATCAATGATTGTTCGAAAGGGTATCTCTGTACTAATGTAAGTATATAACGAATTACACTGACCTATATTGCCGAACATTCATTTCCATACATTCTACGTCTTCACTATTTCCAGAACATTAGAAATAGCATCCGATAAATGTATAGCTATAGGTAGGTGTTGTTTATTACCTTTACGTACTAACTGTACTACAAAGTCACAAACTGAGGACAAGATGTTGACTTACCTTAATTTAACCCCCGAAAGGAGTAGGCAGAGAAGGCCCATAGGACTGACTGTCAGTTATTGTATAAAGCATTATAGTGTTGTAGAACACTTAACTAATATATTAACACTTACTATGTAAGAATATAAGGACTGAGAGCATGAAGATATAAAATTTCAATCTACTACAACACACACACACACAAACACACAGGTAGTCGTAGGTCTGGCCTTCCTCTCTTCCGATTATTTGCTATCGAAAGGATTATGTGTAATAAATTAAACATTGTCTGAGGCATTATAACACCGATGAAGAAAAACCACGAAACAGAAAAAATGAGTGAAGTACCTACTATTTATAATCTTTTAGATTTTACTCTCGGATATTTTAGAAATATTTATAATGCAAAACCACTTACTAAACGTCTTATTACTTATTTAATATTCGATAACTTCCACTAAATGTCTGAAAAGTATTATTTGTCTGACAACACCTAGATCGACACACATAGTGTCTAGTCCATAAGTTTATTGCAAAAAGTACTATATTACAAAATATCGCACCTGTAGTGGAATGCACACATACATTCATTGATATAAGTACGAATGAAGCCTATAATAAATGATCATCAAACGTAGATATAAAATAATATGATAATCTCAAAGGAAATGTCCGAAACTAATCCTGCGTAATCTCATTTTAATGGACTATCACAGACAAAGCGAAAAAATACGTATGCAAGTACCTTCATACGTATATATTATACAATGTTATGAAATAGTTGTTATCATGAGTGCCTTATAGACTTATCTGATTCTAGTAATGTTATTAAGTTCGAATAGGTATATTAAGCAACGATTTAATGTGTTATCACTACGATGATCACGAGTTACATTAGACAGGTA